CGCGAAATTCAAAAACAAGCAAACATGAATTAATTTAAATCCTTTTTTACTGCACAGCAATTCCAAGCGTAATTCTCTGATAGTAACTCAAATCTTTAACACATAGTAAATATGAATTAATACAATATACAGGATCTCCTATAATAAGATATTAAGTTCCTTTATTTAAAATTTTTGAATATTATTAGCGCTTAACCGTCCTTAATTTTAAAATGAACTATTAGTTAGTTTGTTTGTGTGTGTGTGTTTGTTTGATTGATTGATTGAGTGATTTCGTGCAATACTAAACAAGGGATATTAGCACTAGCTGTCCCCAAGATTATATGGAAGGAGTCTTAATTAGTCAACAGCACCCACCGTTACTTCGTGAGCTAATCCTGTCTGACCGAATAATGGGATTTAGCCGTCAGTCTAATAACACACCTATGGCTCCAAAGTGCAAAACACGTTTCTGTGACAGTGCGATGCGAGCCATGAACTCTTGGATTCACAGTCTAAGCATACAAAGCATAGGCCTATGCCCGACCCTCAGATATTAAATACCCAATATATTTTAACCAGACTCGTGACATGCGATAACATTGAGTAATTAGATAAATTTCTTTAGCTGAACAATTCAGGACATTTTAATATTGATATTGTTACTTAGCAATCTGTGGTTTGTAAAGTTTTATTTGTAAAACAACTGTACCCAATGCATGAAAACTCGCTCATAGAAGGCTTCGGTATAGGAGCTGAAATATTGTTAAATAAAAACTACAAAAACTCAGGGAAGCTCAGAAAATAATTTATTGAAAAAAACAATTGCAATAGGTTAATGACAGTTCTCTGATTGAAAGAAGCTTCTCAGTAAAACTGGTATTCATTGTAATTACCTCATCATTAGCTGGTTTTGTGCAAGTTATAGTAAGAAAGTTTAAGATTTATGATGTATATTGAGTAATTTGGCGAAGGTTAGCACTCTTTGAGGCAACAGTATGATGACGCACAACAATAAAATAATAATGAATCGTGCTTCGCTAGCTTAGCTTTATACAGTACAAGATAGATAAAAATTTGGAATTTCAAAACCTGCAAATATGGATCGTAAAAAAAGTAAGGAAACAAGGCTGAAGATACTGTTGAGATTATTTACTCAAACTACAAACCCCTATTCTGACTCCATAATGTTACCTAGAATTACATTTGGTGGAATCTAAATAGGGAATTGTAATTTGAATAAATAATGTCTGCAGCATCTCCACCCTGTTTTCTTATTGTTCTTTACAATTCCTATTTGTAGGTTTTTATATTCCCTAATTTTTATTCATCTTGTTTGCTGGCTTTTTTACTCTCAACTATGGGCAAATAATTATTTGATATGGTA